TTTGAATGAGTCCAAGGAGCAGAGCCCACGCAGCAGCAGTCCTGGCCGATGGGCTGCCACCGTCTGGCCAATTCCCCAAGGGGGATCCGGGCTCGGGACGAATAAACAAATGTTGTGGCAGGGCCGCGCATGTGTGCCATCAACACCGAAGTCCCGCCCTCTCCTACTTGACCACTTCCGTTGCAACTACAATGGAGGACAGGCATACAGGACATCCTGCCACCCAACAGCGAATTGTGTTTCTGTGTCTGTGTCTGTGGCTGGGTGTTTGTGTGCGTGCGCAGGGAAATCCTCGCCCGAAGTCCGAAGTGCCGGTTGCTGCACGCTCGTTCGTGTCGCGAATCGCTTCCGTTTTTGATTTATAAGCGACTGCTGCGCCGTGCTGCGTATCATTAGCAGCCGATCAACAGGTTTACGCACACGCAGCAGCAGCAGTAGGACCCCAGCAGAGCCAGTGACTCTCTCCAGTGAGCAGTTCCTTGAACACTTCCCACTCGGTTCGTCCCTTAATTGAGTTCCAGTTGCTGCGGCACACAAATCCACTTATAAAAGTAATTTTCAATCTGAAAACAAAAACTATTATAAAGCAGCGAACAAAAATCCCACGCAATCCAATCAGAGGGACACACAAAAACCCAACCGTCAGTAGTCGGCCTGACCGCAGATACAACGGAAGTTGTCTGCTCATTTAAAACAACAACAAATAAAGTGCACAAAAATATACTCTCAGGTGAGTGGTTTGGAAAATTGTATTCAATATTCAATATATTCGTGCGAGGCAGCGCGTGGCTCGTAATCCAATTGTGGCAGGCCGAAATGGCTGCTCACGAAAAGGGCAAATTGAGTTAAGAAAATTGTAGAATTGAGTGCGTTGAAAATAGAATTTAAACTTAATTGTTGAATATTTAAATATTTAATTAGCAGATATTTTAAGATCCCTAATTAAAGAGGTTTGGAAACTAAAAGACTGCTCCGATAAATACGAACATTTCCGCAAGTACCATAAAGTTTATGAGAATTCCTTAGCGAATTTGTCTGTGATTACAAAATTATATTTACCACTAATTTGAGCATAACTTTGAGTATTAAATTGCATACTAAAATCAAATAAATATCTCAGCTGTTGAAGCTTAACAAAACATGCTGAACAGTCAGCTAAAAAAATTATAATTATACATTTTATAATTCTAATATTTATTGCTCGCAGTATAACAACTGAATTCCCCTTTAGAAATGTCAAAGAAAATGCAATTTATTTGTGCAATTTGAATTATTAATTTGTATTTCATTTGGATGCATTTTTCGTGTCTAATAACTCATTCATTTTGATGCACAAACTAGGCTCCAGATAGCTATCAAAGGAAAGGCAACAATTTAACAGAGTTCTTTCCGGAACTAAAATAATTAAACTTTGTTTGCCATCACTGCTCTTTATTGGCTGCCTTGAGTCCAGCTTAGCGGCCTAAAATTTGATTAAAAATATGCCACTAAAATATGCAGAGCAGAAACAGAAACAGAAACTCTTTTGCATTGAAATAGCAGAAGGCAGAGGCGAGAGAGGGTAGACAGGGGGGGTCTGGGCTGTTGTGCGTCTGCTTGAGACGAACATTCTATTTGCACTTTTGCGGATGTTCTGTTGATTTAAGCATTTTCGTTAATGCCCAAAATGTCCCTATAAAGATATCCTTCCATTTGCACTCTTTTTTGGGCAATGCGCAAACGGGGTGGGGTCTCTGCTACGTGGGTTGCCCGCTCGTGAGACCTATTTAAATAGAATACTTATAGGCAAATGGCATCCTTGGGCAAATATTTGCCGAGGAGACACGACACACAATGAATAGACGCCGCCGCGAGTCTTGGCAAATTCGATTTCCAGCAAGCTGTTTAATTTTGGCGCGAAAAATTCATTTCAATTTGTTTGCCCAAGCCAAGAAGGAGGCCAGGAGTATCCTCTCGAGCGGATTGTGGCTGGGTATTGGGTTAGAGCTGGCATTGTCGTTGCAGACACTGACACCACATGAATTATTCTCAAGCAGGCAGGCAAATTAATAATGGACACACACACACACACAGGACAAAGGACAGGGCAGCGGGCCAACTAACAAATTCGAAAGAATGTCAGCCGCAAAGGCCATAAATATTTTCAGTTAATTTCAATTACAACTTGACTTGACTTTACTTGACCCTGTGCACATTTTGTGGCTTGCTCTTCCTGCTCTTCCTTTGGCCTTCTCCTTCTCCTTCTCTGATTGTGGTCATAAAATTTGATGCGTGCTCCATCATGGCACAAAGCCGCTAAAACTTTCATCTGCCTGGGCGTCAATCAATCAACGACAAGCGCACAAATTAAGTCGCCTCTAAGCCTGGCAGGAGTTTCCTTCACACTCGGACCATCATCAGTCAGCAGGAGTCAGCAGCTCCAGAGCCAGCAACGGGTTGGCTTTCCGCCAACTCAACGCCTCTCAATTAGCTGGCCAATCCCAGCGACAACGAACAACATCATTTAATCAGGCAAAACCTCGCAGATAAGATACGGAGCGACTTTCGCTGCTGATTGACGCGCCCTGTCCAGCCAGACCCCAGAGTGGTGGGCTTTGAAGAGTTGCTGCTGCCATGGAGATGACTTTTTCCAGGTGGGCGCCTAAACAGCTGCGCTGGCAGTGACCTCTATGGAAGGGGCAGCGGTATTGGGCCCAGAAGTTGGGCATTAAAAACGGAAATAGGTAGATAATTGAGCTGATTAATCGAAGCTCCAGCGATGGCATTTAGAGCGAAGAAATTGCTGCTGCTGTTTCCTGCTTCATGGCATAGCAATATACTCTGTTTTGTGACATTTATGCTAATCCTTGGAGTTGCTTGTGCACGGCACATGCGAGCGCATAGCAAAAACTACTTTGGCAGCAAGTGCAAACAAATATAAGCGCCCCACAGATGCTGCCACATGCTGCCACACCCCGCTTTTAGCTGCTCTTCCTGCTGCCCTTTTCCCACTGCCGCTTGACTGCCTTTTGTCTAGTCTTTGGAGTGGCCCGCCCGCAAGTGCAATCGCAAGCCACTTAAGCCATTGGCCAAACAAAACCCCACAATCTTTGACTATGAGCCTGCCAGCCAGCATATTAACGTTTTAAAAAGCATCATTATCGACATGTAATGGCCATCAGAGTGGCTTCCATCAGCATTTAGCCTTCTGCTTCTGTAACGAGCGGCATGGAGTGCAGAGAAGGGCGTAGGATTACTGCCAATAGGCGCTGCTTATCCTCAATCATTCCGCTACTTCCTACTGCTTGCCTACTGCTTGCCTCCTGCTTGCATACAGCCTACCTCCTGCTTTCCCACTGCTTGCCTTCTGCCTTCTGCCTACCTCCTGCTTGTCCACTGCTTGCTTGCTTGCTGCCCGCCTCCTATTTGCCTGCTTGCCAGCAAACATTCCATTCCATTCTCCATTCGGAATGCCGTCACCTCCCGCTGGTTGCTACCTCCGGACAGTAGGACATTAATAGGCCATAAATTGTAACTGTTATGCGCTGTTGCCTTTTAACGCAGCGGTCGACAGGCAGCATGACATGACCTGCGACCTGCGACCTCCGACATCCAGCTGTGCGCCTCCACCTCCTTCAATTAGAGAGGTTATTTAGCTAAATCGTTAAGCGTGTTCCTGGCCCCGTCCCCCCCTCTGGTTGGAGTAATTTTTAAGCGTGGGCGGCTATGATTGCTGCCATTCGGGGGCTACCCAGGAACTCCCCGTGGAACCCCCCAGGGAGCAGTCGAGTGGCGTTGCCTTTGACTTAATTGAGCATTCCCCCCCCCACTCGAGGCGCTGCGGTCCCATGCCTCCCAGGTCTGCGTCTCAGTTTCATCATTTACATTTTTCCTTTCTGCTCTTGTTTCATAGCGAGAATGGGCGCCCACATGAAGCCAAGGATCCAGAGCCGCCTGTTGCTGCTGGCAGTTTTGCTCATAGGCAGCGCCTGCAGCAGCCTGGCCAGCGGCAGTGGAGTCGTCGGCAGCAGCAGCACCGCCAGCAATGAGCCGAATGGCCTCTCCGAGCAGGTGGTGGAGCAGCTCAGCGACAGCGATCTGTACAACAGCAAGCGCGCCTGGCAATCGCTGCAGAGCTCGTGGGGCAAGCGGAGCAGGGACGTTGTGCCGGAAGTGGATGGCGACGACAACATCTACATGACGGGACACTTTGTGCCGCTGGTCATCACCGACGGCACCAACACCATCGATTGGGACACGTTCGAGCGGCTGGCCAGCAACCAGGACATGCAGCCACAGCTGCAGCAGCAGCAGCAGCAGAGGCAGCAACAGCAGTCGGGCGAGGACATGCTGGAAGATCCGGAGGCGACTGGCAACTTGGAGAAGCGCGCCTGGAAGAGCATGAACGTGGCCTGGGGCAAGCGGCGTCAGGCGCAGGGCTGGAACAAGTTCCGCGGCGCCTGGGGCAAGCGCGAACCCACCTGGAACAACCTGAAGGGCATGTGGGGCAAGCGCGATCAGTGGCAGAAGCTGCACGGCGGCTGGGGCAAGCGTTCCATGGCCGCCGGTGCTGCCCTGAACTAAAGTGCAAAACCAATTCGCAACAATTAATCCAGGCATTTACCCAAACTGTAACTAATCAAATAATATATACAAGATATATATGTATGTGTGTGTGTGTTCCCCCCACCTTCAGCAACCCCTTTGGAGGAGGAGGTTCCGTTCCGTAGCATCGAGGCAGCTGCCCCCAGAAGCTGTGGGCTCTTGGGGCGCAACTGAAAGTCAATTCCGAAAATGTATGAAAGCCCGCGAAAGATGCAGACATCAAAAATATATATATCTATGTGTATATTCCAGATGCGGTACACAGTATTATTATAATGCATATAAAATAAAAGAAAATATATTTATCATCCTCCCAGTATACCAGAACAAAGGAATCTTTTGGCAAAGGAATTAAATGAATATCGCTTTAATTTAGTGACCGTTAACTTAGTTAATGAATTGTGCATATATTATTAAATATACATAAACATAATACACATAAATATATGGCAATTATACATATGAAATGCAAATACATTGAAACAAAAACGAAACTCTTGACTTAACATTGGGATTTTTCGGTGGGTTTGTGGCTAAATGAATGAGTCTGACAAGCAGTTAAATGATTGGAGGAACGCCGAGCAAGTAATGGCAGACTATTACAGCTATATTTACGCAAACAATGTTTGTATGCATTCCTCTTTGTAGTATGTAATTCATAGCCTTTTGTACGCTGCATTACTGCATTGCCATCAATTATAATCTCCAGATTGTGCATTACAGTTTTCATACCGCTAACAGAGCGCTGTACAGGGGAGCGCCAACAGCGAGCTGCAAAGTCTGCAAAGTGCAGACACGAAGTCCAAAACGTTTCTTGCTTCTCTGCCGCTGCGGCAGCCGAGCAAACAACCGACACGAAGTTGTTGTTTCTTCGACGAAGCGAAGATTTTACGCTGCGCTGCCCGAGATCTTTTTCTATGCACAAAGCAAATGACGCTGCCCCGGCTCTGCCCACAGACTGTAACATTGTATTAGGCCATGGCTGTAAACAGCGCTGCTGTTCAGAGAGCAGAGCGCTTAGCCATGTAAAGTCTCAGCGTAAATGTGAGTTTTGTTTGTTAGAAATCTAAAACACAGACTAACCTGCGCCACTAATGTCAGTTTAAAAGACTCTCTGCATTTAGTATTTGCCTCACAGAGGTAGTAGTAAGCAAAATGAAGAACATCTTTCAAACTGTCAATAATATCCTTTTCTTCATCATCACCGCGGGGGTGATGCTGGCGAGCTTCGTTCTGATTGCCCTTTTCACGGGCTTCCAGCACGAGACGAAGAAATTCAAGACAATGGTGGTGACCATAGTGCTAGTGCTGCTCTTTCAGTTCATTATCATCGATCCGATCAAGTTCATTGTGCTGTCGATCGACTCGGCCACGTGGCCGAAGAAGCATATCGTGAATTACCGCACGGACATGACCAAGGAGAAGTACAACCATTTGGACTACCTGCGCACACGACTGAAGAGCTTGAAGTCGCAGCTGATGATCACCATCGAGCATCGCAATGAGAAGCTGAACGAGAGGTACAGTCACATCATGAAGGATCTGAGGCTGTATGGCACGTACTTCCTGGTGCTGCTCATGGTCATCATTGTACACCAGGATCCGCTGCTCTACTACAACACGAATGCCGTGCGGACTCTGCTGTCCTACAATACCACCAGCTCGCTCGGCCTGAAGGAGATTCGGTATATGGAACAGGTCTATGACTTTATCGAGCTGACGCTCATCAAGGGATTCAACAGGAGCCGCCGTGCCCAGGACACGGGCTGGCTGCAGATACCCCAAATGAAGCGTTTGGGCGTCATTCGGCTGCGACAGCTGCGACACATTGACAACATTGGGGCCTACGATCCGCGGTGGGACTACAGCCACAACATGCCCGAGTGGAAGAAACCCTTCATTCGGCTGCACTACGAGGACAAGTACTGGCGCATCTACGAGCCCTGGCGACCCCTGCAACACACACCCAGCCTGGAGGATGGGCTGCTGCTGCGCTTCAATCATTATGGCCACGATATGGACTATCCCGAGCTGGCGGGCTACGTCGCGCTGCTCAGCGCGGGGCCACACAACAGCCTCAAGGTGCTGCGCTTTCTCAAGCGCTACAATTGGATGGATCTCCGCAATACTTCGGCGCTTTTCATCGATTTCACCATGTTCAATGTGGATTCCAACATCTTCACGATCTGCACGCTGCTCGTGGAGAACACAAACTTTGGACTGCAGCTGACACGCGCCTCGGTGCAGAGCACCAAGCTGCTCGAGAGTCTCGATCAGATGAGCCACTCGAAGATCATCGTGATGCTGCTCTACTTAATTATTGTCATTCAGTTTTGTCGCAGTTTGGTGGTCAAATTGTGGTACAATCGCGGCGCCATCAAGAAGGCTTGGAACAAGGTGGATGTCGTCATATTCATACTCAACATTATCCTGCTGTCACTCATCGTTCTGCGGGTGTGGGAGGTGGCCAAGTTGCTGAAGATGCTGAAGGAGTCCACCACGCGGGACTACCTGAACTTCCAGCGTCCGATGCGTCTCTATCAGCTGATCAACATCATCATGGGCTTCCTCGTGTGCATCACCACGTTGAGACTGTGGAAGGTTCTGCAGTTTGCCAGCGTCTTCTCGGTGTTCACCAAAACGCTGTACATGGCCTGGCCAGCTGTGGCCAGCACAGCGCTCATCATCATCATCTTCCTGATGGGCCTGGGCATGGCGGTGGCCATTATCAATGGCAATCACAACGAGTACTTTCAGAAGCTGCTCAAGTGCATCATTGCCTGCTTGTGCTTTGCCTTCGGCTTCAGCTCGGAGGTGCATCCGAAGGACATGTTCCACGGCGGCAAGACTCTGGGCATTGTGCTCTACCTCGTGCTGGTCTTCATCATTGCCGTCGTCCTCATGAATGTCTTTGCGGCGCTGATCTTCTCGTACTTTGAGAACGCCGAGCAGGATCGCAAGGAGAACAAGGGCGACAGTCGGATCAATTTCCTGCAGTTCCTGCGCGTAGAGTACGCCCACGCCCTGGCCCTCTGTGGCTGTCGCTACCTTCGCCGGAAATATCGACCACACGGGCGCACGGTGCGCGAGAACATCGCCTGGGCCATGTACCGCCAGGAGCTGGTACGCTCCAAGTCCAGCAGCATTGTGGTCGAGAAAAAGCCCAGCGACGAGGAGTTGCGCTTTCAGTATCGTCGCCGCATCGAGCTGCTGCTGGGACTCTCCGCCATACTCACGGTGCAGGTGGAACTCATCGAGCGAATGATGCTGGGCGACAAGAATGGCAATCTGCCGGGCTCCTCGGGCTCCTCGGACTCCTCGGACTCCGACATCCCGGATATGTATCGCAAGTCTAAGACTAGCAAGGTTTAAGAGTTCTGACCTTGTGGGCAGATCATTCCCCCTTAGACATGTTAAATGATTTAATTCAACTTCAAGTTTGCCACTTTTGAGGGCGCGAATAATTTCACTGCTTAATTTTTACTTTTTATTTCAATAATCCAAGAGGGGGGGGGGGACTGTCTGCAGCTCCTCCAGTGGCCACAAATTGGCAACTACACGCATGTTGCTCCCGCTGATGAAAGAGTGAAGAAAGAACTCCATGCCACACTCCATGCCACACTCCATGCCTCTCCCTCCATTGACTGCCAAGCTGGCGGCACTAATCGTGGCCCATGCCAGAGGCAGGCGCGTCTCAATCCCAATGCCAGCGAAGCGGCCTAAATTGCCGTCAGGCCTGCGCAATTTGACGCCACTCTGTAATGCCAATGATGACATTTTCCCCTCGGAGCCAGACAGGTGGCTGCTCCCCACACATATAAGTGCGACGCCAGCAGGCCGCGTTCCCAGTCGAAATGTTTGCAACGCCACGGAATCTACGCTGCAGTCTCTGCTGGGTCTGCCTCTGCCTCTGGCTGTCTGCTGTACTAGCGCAGGAGCGGAACACCACAGCGGACACCGCCACAGCCACCTCCTGGACACCGCTGAAGCCGCCACAGAAGCGGCAGGCGTCAAGCGGCGCAGCAGGAGCCGCAGCAGCCAAGAGCTACGATCCACCGCCGGAGTTCTATCGGGGGCCGGGCTCTGTGCAGAAACTGGACAGCACAGCAGCTGGATTTATATCCCAGCCGATTGGTGCGCTGCCACCCGTGGGTGGAGCAGGAGCAGCAGCCACAGAGAGTCTCAGCGAGGCGTACGACAAGTGGCGCAATGGAGGCGGATCCCGTCCGCTGCAGGATCGCATCAGCGTGGGTAAGTTCTAGCAAAAAGTGGAGTGAAGATTCCCCTCTCAGATGTGTATCCACCACCCCCCCAAACCTTAGGTCACTATGGCAGCAGCGGCAGCGGTTCTCCAGGCAAAAGCTTTGGCTATGAAGGACATCCCTATGCCTATGACTACGGACCAGGACATGGCTATGAGCAGGGAGTAGCACCAGGACATGGCTATGAGCAGGGACCCGGCCATGGCTACGATCAGGGACCACTGGCTGGGCATGGCTACGGCGCCAGTGTCGAGGCAGGTGCCGGGCCGCCGTACCACGTCTATCGACAGCGACCCGAACCCGGCCACTATGCGGGTCCCGGCGTGGAGTACACCTACAGCTCGTATCCCCTCGACTCGCACGAGATTGTCGCGCACAAGGGGTCGCCCGAGATCTCCCCCAAAGCGCTGCTGGCCAAGAGTTTCCTCATTCCGTTGGCCAGTGCCACGGTCCTGGGCATTGCCGCTGCTTTTATTAACAATCCGCTGCTGCTGCAACTCGCACCGGTGCCGGGACTGGGCGTTGGAGTGGGTGTTGGCCCGCCCGTTGTGGGCAAGCGAAAGCGACGAAGGCGCGAGATTCGAAATGCTTTGCCCTAAAATGATAGTTTACAGACCAACTGGGCCAAAGATAAATAGCATTTTTTAAAAATAAATACATTTATTCGATATATAAACAAATTTTAAAACATTTGTTTATTTTGCTTGATTTTTAAACAAATTAAAGTTCAAATTTAAATTTGTATTAATTGCTGCTACTTGGCAACTCTACACACAAACTTCTACGATGGGGCGACACCTGACGGTCACAACAATTTCCCTGCATTTCGTTTCATGCAAAGTTACTGGTTACACAAAATGTACATAAAACGTAGCAATTGTGTAGTTACTATGTAATTATTGTATGCCATCTTTGCCTTTAAAATTAAACAGTCATTTGGAAGATTATTTCATCTGTCGAATAAAATTACAAGTTCAGCGCTGAGAGTATTAAGTAGCTGGCAATATTAAATGGAAGATCAAAATTATGCAAAATTATATTTCTCGGTATATTTTCAAAGTGAAATTGGTATATTTTTGACAGTCCGTTGGTATATTTCATCGATAAATCCGGTCATACTATCAAGCCGGCAAAGCCGCCAAATTTTTCGCATTATACTCAAACTTCTCAATTTGTATGAAATAAATCAACACACAACATACAAAACAGCATGAACTACTCCCGGAGCAGATGGTAAGATTGCGCAATACAATAACCAAATGATCAATGACCAATGACCAAATTTCACTGCCCACCAGCTCCCCAATGGTGGAGAAGAGTCTGGATCTGCGTCTTCGCGGCGCCCAGGCCAAGACCTATCTCAAATGGTGCACTTTCAACGTAGCTGTGCTGTCCCTGCTTCTGTTTGACTTGTCGCAGACATGCCCCTCCAAGCGTTGGTCCTACTTCTTCTTGGCCGAGTGCTCCGTGACCAGCGTGATGGCCCTCAGCGCGCTGGCCTGCCTGGCCAAGTATTTGTGGTTATGGTTTACCGGCGACCCGGTGCTGGGCACAGATGTACAAAAGTGTCTGCTGGATGGCTATGATGGCAAGGAGTGGATTCTGGTTGTGTTTGGACTCTTCTAATGCTTTCTCTTTCCCCCTTAGACAACTCTTTTAGAACAATTTTCACACGAAAGGCGCAGAAGCCGCGTTGCTATGAGGTGGACACTGATTTTGAGGATAATACGCCCATCATCAATTGGCACTCATCGTTCGAGAACTCCTGCTTTGGCTCTCCAACGCAACGTCGCAGCCCCAGTATCACAAGGACCCCACAGCAGCATCAGCATCAGCACCAGCACCAGCACAACCAGAATTCCTCGTACAACTCGACGCCCATGATGCAGCAGAACAACTCCCTGAATGTGAGCAACATCAGCGATGACTCGCCGTACGCAGAGGTGCGGCAGGACGACTTCCTCACCGATGCACGCCAGCTGCCGGCGCTGATGAAGAGTGCCCGCAGGCAGCGCAGCATTCTGGAGACCTCCGATGGACCCAATACGCCGAGCCCAAACTCCAGCAACTCCTTTTGGAACTGCTGCAACCAACAGTTGAGCCGATTGAAGACCATCTATCAGCTGGCACCAACGCCACCGGTGACCACGGAGAATGCGCCTACGTCCATTGAGGAGCTGGGTTCGTTTCAGTTCAAGGACAGCAATTCGGAGGTCATCAATCGCATTTCCACGCACAAACTCTCGCAATATGTGGCAAATCTGAGAAATGTAAGCCTCAATACTCTTTGCAAGAGCTATGACTAATCCCAATGCTTGTTTCCCCAGTGGCTCTCCACCACGATACTCCAGCGTCTGGTCAAGGAGATCAACCATGTGGATGAGATGTTTCGGCAGCGTGGCCTCAACGACTTGAAGATCGGCGCCGTCAGTCTGGAGCGTCTGCGCAAGACGGCCGATAATCAGCAATTTGTGCAGACCTGCGCGCCCATTTTGCCCATGCTGCTGCCCTTTCTGGATGGCTTCAGCAATCAGGAATATCTGGTGCAACGCATCAAGGAGCTGTCGCAGGGCTCCTGCCTGGCAGACTTTCGCTGGAACTCGGGCAATGCGCACAACGGACAGGAATGGGGCGAACATTTGCCCACCGATGCAGCTGTAAGAAATGAGACAAAGAGATGCTTATTGCTTCCATTAATTGCCCATTTATGTTGTGACTTTGCAGATTATTTTCCATTTGTTTTGCGTGTATTTGGACAGCCAACTGATGCCCATGCCACAGGGCGGCGGTCGGCCCTTCCACAGTCGCTATGTGCTGCTGCGCGGCGAGAAACGCTCCACCAAGGACATTGTTAATGCGGTGCACAACAGGGCGCACTGTGCCATCCTCTGCAGCGGCAGTCCGCTCAATCCCAAGTTCAATTTCATCAGCGACAAGGAGCTGCACAGCTGCGTCTACGACAGAAACAACTTGTTCTACGTCATCATACAGTTCCTCATTTACATGCGCCAGCAGCAGGAATCGGCCCTCGAGGGCGTCAATCTGGGCAAGAGTGGCATCAATATTATGTGTGTCATCGAGAAGTGAAGCAGCGCCCCACCGAGAACACCACTTGACTACTAGACCTCCCTTCCCTCTTGGCATTGCTCATATTTTGTTACTATTAAATTATGCATTTTGTAATTATTAAGTCAACATCGTGTGAACGCATGCGCTGCGGTTACTGCGGTGAGTCCTTACACACTCTCAAGTGTACGCCCTCCCCCCCCCCCCCCCCCCCCCCCCCCCCCCCGCCCCCCCCCGCCGTCCGCCGCGCACACACTGCCTGTGTGTGTCCGGGTGCGTGCGTGCTGCCTGCCAC